AAAAAAAAAAAAAAAAAAAAAAAAAAAAAAAAAAGGAAGGAAGGAAGGACAATGGACGGAAGAAAGAAAGAAAGAAAGAAAAAAAGAAAGAAAGAAAGAAAAAAAAGCAGACTGGACAAGCTATGAAGAAGAAGCCAGTAAGCAGCATGGTCACTGTATCAGCTCCTATCTGCAGATTCCTGTCCTGACTTCCTTCACTGAAGGACTCTGATATAAAAGTATAAGTGAAATTAAATCCTTTCCTCTCCAAGCTCTTTTGGTCATGGTGTTTTATCACAGCACAATATTACAACAGTGTGCTTTATACTGAACCATGTCCACATTGTTAGTCTTGGGAATTCCACAGCTACTACCTCATAAACAGGTGCACATAGCACTAGACCACAGGCCAAGTTAATCTCATCTCAGGTGACAACTAGTTGAATACAGACAGGCAAAAGAAGCCATGTCAGACTACCCAGTCCCACTTGAGCTAGCTGAAGCCAGAAAAAAACTTCCCAACCGTGTTACTACTTGTTGTCCCTCAAAAAATGTGCAAAACACTAACTGTTGTCATAAAGTTTATGACAGTCTGTTACATACCAAAAAGGAAAAAACAAAAATTACCACAAATTGCTAAAGTCAATTCTACTATTTATCACAAAGAATAGCTGGCATTTGCTATGCTCAATTTTTTTCTCATTTGTTTGTTACTTCAGAGTTTCATAAAACTATTTATGGAATTCTGTATAACATGAGTTGAAGAGGAACCAACTCAGGGCTACTTTGCATGAACATTTCAATACCTCAGGTTTCCTGAAACATACAAGTATAACATCAAACTCCAAGCCCATGTAAATTCAGATCCATTACTATACACTCAAGAGAGGAGTTTGACTTCATTGTTGTGGTTGTGTCCAATTAGCAGAGGAACATGGCTATCTTGGATATTTTGTTATTTGATGTTTTCCCCAACAATACAACCTTTTCTAAGTCCTGGAGTTATCCACAAGTAAGCAAAGGATTCTGTCCCTATAAGTGCATCCACATTTCTGCTGTATGCAAAGGAGGGCCTCCAAACCTCCAATTTAATACTTACCAATGTCATGTCAACATTTACAAATGAATGTGGAGAACAATCCATTTATCATTGTCCCTTAGCTCATGAGATATCATACAATAACCAGTTAATGACACTTAACAACAGTCTTGGGCAATTTGGTCCTTACTTTATCCAGGTCATAAGTTCCACTGTATCTGGATCATAGAATTCCTGTAGTTCTGTTAATTCTGTAATTAATCTTGGAAAAAACTAAAACACAAAACAAAATACCCATAGGTATAAGTAACTGGAAAGTCTAAAATTGTTTCACAGTATTCCAAAAGACTAACTTTAAACACTGTTAACCTGACAAAGCTAATGGGTCTCTGCCATTTTCACTGACTAATTCATCTTCTCATCCTGAATAATTATTATAACTTTATAGTTTACTCACTGCTTAGACTCAGTAACTAATGTTATCACAATTATCAGCTATATCATTTATGCATAGACATTTAATGTTATTACTAAACAATCATCAGTTGTATCTTTCAATGCATAGACATATTAAATAACAAATTCCAATACAAATACTTTGCAAGTTTATTGGCAGTTAGTTTTCTGTTACATTATGTTAAGCCAAAAACTTTATTTCATTTCACAGATGTTAGAACTGAAATTACCAACAATTTTGTCAATTGTGTTAAGAATTGACAATGGCATTAAAGGAAACTGCATTGGATGGCATTCTAAGGATGTCTTAGGCTGGATATACTGGAACTATGTGTAATCCCAACACTTGAGATGCCGAGTCAGGGGGCTCGCTGTCACCACAAAAGCAAGGCTAGCCTGGGCTACATAGTGAGACCTGGTCTCAAAAGACAACAAGCAAACAAAGGTATAAAATGTTTTAGGAGAAGTTGGTAGTGCATGTCTTTAATCCCAGCACTTGGGAGGAAGAGGCAAGCAGATTTCCATGAGTTGGAGGCCAGCCTTCAGCCTTATCTATGGAATGAATTCCAAAACAGCCAGCAGTGAAATCCTGCCTAAAAAAAAAAAAAAAAAAAAAAAAAAAGGAAAAAGGAAGAAAAACAAAATTTGTTTTGGTTCTTTTGTTAGGTTCCTAATGGGGGAAAAGAAGAAAAAGGAGGCAACAGAAACAATAATCAGTTTTTCAGGAGGCAGGGGCAGGCAAATCTCTGTGAGTTCAAGGCCAGTCTGGTCTACAGAGTGAGTTCCAGGACAGCCAGGGCTGTTACACAGAGAAACCCTATTTAGAAAAACCAAAACAAACAAATAAATAAGCTTGGTTAGTGCAATGCCTTGATAGAAGCTTCGTGCGCCCACGCACGCACACACATCTATCACTTCATATATAAATACATTTTCATAGTATAAAAATTCAATTTTCTTACCTCTTTCCACAAACTTAGACCTATAATAGTGGGCACAGCCATGCTCAGAATAAGAGCCTAAAATGGTAAAGGAAAAAGGGTTCTGGGTAAGCATTTTAGAACATATGCTAAAAGTATTCACATTAATTCTATGACCCATTGACTATCCTTATAGTTAAAAATTCAATCAGAGAGACTGACATAAGTATGAATCTAGTTCAAAGTGAAGTGAGTGAATGTGTTTCAAACACACTGAAGTGTTGGTAAAAATATTTGCTACAGTCAGGTGGTGGTGGTGGCGGTGGCGGTGGCGGCGGCACACGCCTTTGATCCCAGCACTTGGGAGGCAGAGGCAGGCGGATCTCTGTGAGTTTAAGTTCAGCCTGGTCTCCAGAGTGAGTTCCAGGACAGGCTCCAAAGCTACAGAGAAACCCTGTCTTGAAAAACAAAACAAATATATATATTGCTATATATAAGACCATCAAAAAGGGAGGGTGCATGGTGACACATGCCTTTAATCCCAGCACTTGGGAGGTAGAGGTAGAAGGATCTGCATTCAAGACCACTAGGTCTACAGAACTAGCTACAGTCCAACCAGGGCTACACAGTGAGATTCCGTCTAAAACAAAATCAAAATTAATGCTGTGTGCCAGAAAGACAACTCAACAGTTACAGAGTGCTTAGTGCTCTTGCAGAGGACCAGGGGTCAGTCCCCAGCAACAACATAGTGGCTCACAGCAGACTGTAACCCCTCTCCTAATGTCCACAGGCTCATGCACACATGTAGTGCACATATATGCACTAAAGCACATACATGCTTTTTCAGAGCATGGTGGTGCACGCCTTTAGTGTCAGCACCAGCAGCCGGAGGCAGGGGAATCTATGGAAGTTCAAGGCCAATCTGGTCTACACAGAGAAATTCTGTCTGTAAATAAATAAAATAATTTTTAAAATATTAAAAAAGTCAATGCTTCGTTGATCTGAACTTCTGGTTGCCTGTAATCCTAAAATTGAGATAAGCAGGAGGACTGAGGATTTGATGCCAATCTGAGTGAGTCTATCTCACAGAACAAACTAGAAAACATTACTTTCATAATGATATTTCAAATAGCAAATATGTAAAACTGCAAAAGATTTATTTTCCTTTTGGTTTACGTAGGAGTGTGTATCTCTCTGTAAGTATGTGCATGTTGAGTGTTGGTGCCTAAGGTAGGTGGAAGGCTCTGGCTGGCTCCCCTGGAGCTGGAGTTACAGGTGGTTATAAGACACCTGACATAGGTGCTGGGAAGCTAATGTAGGTCCTCTGTAGAGCAGGTCATGCTCTTAACTGCTGAGCCATCTCTTTAGCCCCAATATACATGAAACTCCTGCCAGAGTTCTGTGTCATAAAGAACTCAAAAGTAATTGTGAATTAGCATTAAAAGGTAACAGCAAAAGGCACTGAAACCAAACAGGAAAAATAGCTAGCATAGATCACCATACTATGTTAAAATAGGAAAATTCAAATTCTGCAACTAAGACTGGAAAAATATAAGAAGAACACTGTTGAACATAATTTATCATCTTGCTCAAACCTGTCCTTCCTATTCTATTTGTGGTAGGGGTTTTGCTTATTTATTTGTTATTGTTTCATCTCCTTCAAAACCATTAGGATGCACAGACAGTGAGTTCCCTCTCCCACTACCACAAATAGTTTTGCCCAGATTCCTGTATTTGGGGAAATAACAGGGGTTTGGACATTCAGATTCAATGGATGAGCCTCACTCAGGGAAAACCATATCACCATGAAATTCCCTGCCAGGTAGAAGCATTCTATAGCATTAGGCACTGTTTTCCCCTTGGTGGGGATCCAACTGGAACCCTCAGAAATGCTAGACAAGCATCCCACTGAGCCACACCCCGCCCTCCCTCCTCCATTTGTTTTGTGTTATACACAGTATCTCACTGGGTAGCCAAGGCTGACCTCAAACTTGGAATCTTCCAGTCTCAACTACCCTAGTCTATCACACTGGACTCTAAAACTTTATCTTTACTTTAAGAACACAGCAGAAGGGCTGGCGAGATGGCTCAGAGGTTAAGAGCACTGACTGCTCTTCCAGAGGTCCTGAGTTCAATTCCCAGGACCCACATGGTGGCTTACAACCATCCGTAATGAGATCTGGTGCCCTCTTCTGGTGTGTAAACATGCATGCAGATAACTGTATACATTAAAAAAAAAAAAAAGACCACAGCAGAAGAGTGTAAATATTCACATGGGAATCATGTGGAGCAATCAAACAAAGATCTAAGTAAAACCAAGGAACATATTCTAAAACCTAAACCCATGCAGAAAAATCTCTGCTCTTCAGAAGGCTGAGGCAGGAGGATTGCTAGAAGCCAAGGGGAAGGAGACAAGATATCCTGAGCAAATTGGGAGGTGGCAGGGGGAGAACGTCTGGAATCAGGAAGACTGAGTTTGGGGAAGAATAGAGAAGGAGAGCAAAAAAGAGATACCTTAATAGAGGGAGCCAGTATAGGTTTAAAGAGAAATCTGGCACTAGGGAAATCTCCAGGGATCCACAAGGATGACCCTAACTAAGAACCTAAGCAACAGTGGAGAGGCTACCTTAAATGCCCTTCCCCTATAATGAGATTGATGACTACCTTAAATGCCATCATAAAGCGTTCACCCAATAGCTGATGAAGAAATTCACACCTAAGTGCTAAGCTGAACTCCTGGAATCCAGTTGTAGAGAGAGAGGGAGGAGTGATGAGCAAAGGGGTCAAGACCATGATGGGGAAACCCACAGAAACAGCTGATTTGAGCAAGTGGGAGCTGAAGGACCCCAATCTGACAGCTGGGAAAGCAGCATAGGACCAAACCAGGCACTCTGAATGTGGGTGCCAGTTGGGAGGCCTGGGCAGTCTATGGGGCCTTTGGCAGTAGAACCAGTATTTATCCCTAGTGCACAAATGGACTTTGGGAGCCCATTCCCCATGGAGGGATACTCTCTCAGCCTAGATACATGGGAGAGGGCCTAGGCCCTGACCCAAATGATATGACAGACTTTGATGGTCCCCCATGGGAGGCCTCATCCTCCCTGGGGAGGGGATGGGGGAGTTAGTGGTGGGCGATGGGAGGATGGGAGGGAGAGGGAACTGGGACTGGTATGGAAAATAAGATTGTTTTTAATTTAAATAAAAATTTATTTTAAAAATGTTTATCATAGCCAGGCAGTGGCGGTTCCCCTTTAATCCCAGCACTCCGGAGGCAGAGGCAGGTGGATCTGTGTGAGTTCAAGGCCAGCCTGGTGTACAGAGCAAGTTCCAGGACAGCCTCCAAAGCTACAGAGAAACCCTGTCTTGAAAAACCAAAAAAAAAAAAAAAGCATGTTAAGCATGTTTATCATAATCTGTTGTACTACCTGTAACATTATTTATTTTGGTTTTTCGAGACAGGGTTTCGCTGGGTAGCTTTGGAGCCTATCCTGGCACTCGCTCTGTAGACCAGGCTGGCCTCGAACTCA